GTATTTGAAAGCCTTCTTTCCCTTAACTGACGATAGAGCACACCTGAGGGTGAGAGAGGAACTCCCTTCTCGGGGTCTTGCTACTTCGTGGTCTCCTGTTTCCAGTCCTCTAGCCCTTTGGATTCTGGGCATTTGCCTCGTGCCTGCCTGGCATGTTTCAGGACAGAGTGGGGATTCAAACCTTGGTCGCCATGTGGGACCCAGTGTCTTCTGAGCAGCACATTCCCACTGTGCTGTGGACCCCCCCCGCCCTTTTCCTTATTTTAACACAAATTTACATATGCCATGTACTTGCTTAGGCATACTGCATGTCGGGTCTTGAGCCAACTGTTAAATGTTCAGATTGCTAAACAATAATTAAAAATTACTCAACTTACAATTCCGTTATATTAAAAGCGAAGGTGACACTCAAACTTCTTTACTTCCTAATTATTTTGCTGTATTGTTTGGTTGATTATCTAGACTTAAGAGATTCTCTGTAGCCATTCCAGTATGAATAGCACTCTTGAAATAGCCTTCCAGTATTTGAAATCTATTATGCATTTTATCCAAGTGGAGTTTGTTTTTGTTATGGTTGTTGTTCATGACAGGGTGTGTGCATACACACGAGACAGAGGGAGGGAGAGATGCACCCACTGAGGGGCCTGGTCACGCTCGATCCCCTTCCTCTGGTCCAGCTCCTGGCATTATGGGTGTATATGCACACACCTGGGGTGTTTCCAGGCTGACTGGACTGGGGATTTGAACTGTGGTCTTCATGTGGCTTCAGCTCTGCATTTTGATGCCATCAACCGTGCCACAGAGAATGGGCCATTTTTTTAAAAGGTGTATTTATGATTTTTTCCCCCCATGAGTGAGAGAGAAAGAGAGAGAGACAGAAACCTCAACAGGGTCCTGATGCCACGGTCCACTCCCAGCTTTCAGCCAGCCCTGGAGCCCAGGAAAGTGTGTCTGGCATACTTGGGGAGGTCTCTGAACTTGAATCACGAACCTTCCCATGTAGGATTACTTCACAAAATGTTGGATTTTACGTACACTGTACACTACTGTACACTGCTCCTCAAGTGAAGTTCTGATGGACAAAGAAGTCCTTTCATGTTTGCATTAAATGTATCAGTCAACATTCATGTTAGAAATATACTTGTTGAGAGACCAGCAGATGGTGGGATGGTTACATTGCTGTACTCTCATGTAGTCGACCGTGGTTCAAGTCCTGCACCCAGTGGCATAAAACTCATGCCAGGCATATGTGTGTGCATGCCCAAAATCCCCAGAGGAGAATGGAAGAGAAGTGATTGCAGAGTGGCCATCACCCTCAGGGGGGTGATTTCTCGCTTTTTGTCTCTCTGTGTCTCTGACAAGCACACATGCCCTATAGCAAAAAAAACTCTCTTTAAAAAAAAAAAATTATACTTGTTGATCAATTGCACCCATAAATAACTTACCTACAAGAGCTTGGTTAAAATCAACAACAGCATTCTCAGGGAATTAAATATATGGAATTTACTGTTAAGAGAATTGTGAGGACCAGCAGGTGACATAGCAGTGAAGGCCCTGGACTCCTACATGGTCAACTGTGGTTTGAGTTTTGGACCCGGTGGCTGGAAACTCATGCCAGGTGCATGTGTGTGCATGCCCAAAATTTCAGGAGGAGAATGGAGAAGAAAGGATTGCTGCATGGCCATCCCCCCAGGGGGATGATTTCTTGCTTTCTGTCTCTCTGTCTCTGGTGAACACATGTGCCCTATAGCAAAAATCTCTCAAAAAATAAAAATAAAGAATTATATAGTGTTTATTACTGTGTGTTCCACATCGTTTAGATCAGTAAATATGTTATACGCATACTCATGTGCATATGCGCATAGGTGGTTTTCCCAGAGCGCTGGTTGGTGACAGCTTACCAGATCAGTATAGCCTAAACAGGAACTTTTCTGGGATGATGGAAGCGGCATCTGATGTACACGGACTGCATACTCGTGAGGGCTGTTTTGCAGGTTCATGACGTATAGAGGCAGCCCTTGCTCTCCCTATTTGGAGTGAAAGCTACCCCACAGTGACTGGGTGTTTTAGTCTTTTTACTCAGATTCCATTTGTCTCCAAGATAAACCCATGGGCCTGTTGTATTAACAGCGTCCTTGTTAAAGGAATCCCATGCAACAGTTCTAGCCAGAGGGCTGGATGGGAGAAGAACTCCCTGATGGCAAAGGTTTTGTTTTCGCCTCGCTGGGCCGTGGTGAATTGTCGTGAGTGGGGACCACACACAGCAGCTGGGCCTTGTTCAGGGGACTAAGATTAGGTGGTGGCTGTCTGAGTGCTTGTTTCATGTCCCAGGAGCCATCTCTGCATCCATCCCCTCCTCTGGGAGGGCCAAACCTCAGGCTGTCGAGACAGCTGGGGAGAATGAGGTTGAGGGCTCTGTCCGGAGCTGCAGGATTCCACCTGGCTCCTGAAGGCAGCCTGGCTGCTCAAAGACACCAGAGGAACCCCTCACCATGTCGCTGCCATTCCCTAGGGGCTCTGTTGCATGGCTCCTCTTTTCCCTGAAACAGCAATCTTTTCCCAAGGCTACGCTCTGCAGACAAGTAGGTCCTTTTATTTGTGTCTTTCTGTGTTGATTATGTGACAGAAAAGAAAAAAACTGAATAACAGCCTCTTCTTGTGCCTCAGAACCTGACCAAAATAGAGATGATTCCTCTATACCGCCACTCAGACCTGTCCCCATGCCTCTTCTTAGCTCCCCGTCAGCTCTGTGCTTCTGCCAGGCTTTCTTTCACTTCCAGTTACAGTGTCATCCTTTGCTGCAATCCCTTGATCCTCAGGCGCAGGGGATATCTTCAGGGGTTTACGCCTGATCCCTTCCGTATTCCCCAAAGGCCATGTACCCTGGTGGGATGCAGTAGAAAAGGTTAACCTGGCATTACTTTGTCGAGAGCTGACTGTCTCTCAAGGCGCGTGATCAGACATTGCATTGTAGCCGTGTAACATGAGGCATGTTGAGGGTACATGGCTGCTTGGTTATAATCGCCTCAAAAAAATGTAAATGGATTCCCCCAGCCCAATGCTCCTGCTGTGATTGCCTGTACTAGCACCAGCTGGCCCTCATTATCTCCTGATGGTATTTCACTCTTAAACAGAATCATTCTCAGGTGCAGAGAGAGTGGGGATCGTTCATGAAGTGCCAGTGGTGGTGGCCAGAGGATAGGGACAAACAAGCCACCAAGAGAAATCTCAGGGACAATGGACTCGAGCACCTAAGCTGTGGTCAGGCCATTCTGCCGCCCCTGCCCAGGGCTCGGATGCCGTGGTGCAATCATTGTCTGGGCCGATCGAGGTTAGCCATAATTGAAGGGCACCAGGTGGCCTTTCTTGGACTCCAAGAGGGCGCAGCAAAAGAAAATGAAAAGGTGGCCTCAACAAGGGTGGAGAGTAATCAAAGAGGCCCGACTTGCAAAATCAAAACAGTTTTCTGAATAATATATCATGTTTCAGAAACGTTTATTTCTTCCTGAAGTGAGAGAAAGACAGCATCCTCAGTGAGCCCCACAGCGGTGATGCACCCCTAGCTCCAGCCAGCCCCAGTTGCACATGTGTGTTATATGTACTGAATGAAGGGGACCAGCAGTTAGTGTAATGGCTATGTCGCTGGACTCCCACATAGTCTACTGTGGTTCGTGTCCCAGACCCGGTGGCTTAAAACTCATGCCGGGTGCGTGTGCGTGCGTGCCCAAGATCCCAGGAGGAGAATGAAGGAGAAGGGATTGCGGCATGGCCATCCTCCCTGGGGGGGGTGATTTCTCGCTTTCTGTCTCTATGTCTCTCTCTCTGTCTGTCTGGCGAGCGCACACACCCTATAGCAAAAACCTCTCATTAAAAAAAAAAAAAAAAGATGTACTGAAGGAGGTCTCTGGATGAAATCCTGAACCTTTCCATGTGGATCAGCCGGGCAGAGTGTTTCATTTACTGCCATGCCACTGTCTGGCCCAGTCATCATTTTAAAAAAGATATGTACAGCCTGCTTAGTCTTTGCAGATGTAAACCTACTCAAAGCAGCGTCTGGATAGGTTGAGCTTCATTTCAGTATAGGCTGAGCATTCTATTTAAAAAAAAATTTTTTTTGGAGAGGTTTTTGCTATAGGGCACGTGCATTCGCCAGACAGAGAGAGAGAGACATAGAGACAGAAAGCGAGAAATCACCCCCCAGGGGGGATGGCCACACCACAATCCCTTCTCTTCCATTATCCTCTTGGGGTTTTAGGCACACATGCATGTGCGCTCAATGTGAGTTTCATGCAGCTGGGTCCGAGACTTGAACCACAGTTGACTATGTTTTCACATAGTTTAGTGCCTTAACCACTTGGCTACCTGCTGGTCCCTAAGCTGAGCATTCTAATCTGAAAATCCGAAATCACAAATACTACAAAGCCAGAGATTTTCTGAATGCCAACGTGAGGCATCAAGTGAAAATTTCTACATCTGACCTCATAGTCAAAATGCTGCAATATAAAAATATTATATGAAGTTACCTTCAAACTATGTGTATAACCTATGAAATATAAATGAATTTTGGGTTTAGACTTGGGTCTCAGCCCCTAGTTGTCTTATTATGTACATGCGAATATTCAAGATCCTGAGAAGCCTGAAGTGGAGGACTAAAGTGGAGGAAGGAGACCATGGCTGACCAGACCCTGTCGAGGGTGCTTCTCTCTCTGTCTCATGAGTGTACACGTGTTATCATGAAGAAAAGTACAGCTATATTGTAATTTGCCTAACCGCCTCTCCATTGTTGGAACTTCTTTCTTTTCTTCTTCTTTTTTTTTTATTTGCTTAGTAGTAAATGATTTGATAAATATCCTTATAGACAAAAATCTTTGGACATATCTTCAATCATTTCCATAGGAAAAATTTTGGGCAGTGTATTTTCCAGATCAAAGAATATTCCTGCAGGTCTTCTAAAAAAGGAGGATCCAGGGACCAGCAGATGGCATAATGGTTACGTTGCTGTACTACCACATAGGTCAACTGGTTCAAGTCTCAGACCCAGTGGCTTAAAACTCACACTAGGCACTTGTGTGTGCTTGCCCAAAATCTCTAGAGGAGGATGGAGGAGAGGGTATTGTGGTGTGGCCATTCCCCCGGGAAGTGATTTCTCACTTTCTATCTCCCTGTGTCTCTGGTGAGCGTGTGTGCCCTATAGCAAAAATCTCTCTTAAAAAAAAAAAAAAAAGGAGGATCAAGTCTTGCCAAATCCATGGGTTCAAGTGCCAGATCAGGTGGCCTGGAAAACATGCCGGGCATGTGTGTGTACATACCCCAAATCCCCAGAGTAGAAGGGAGAAGGGATTGCAGCATGGCCTTCCTCCCTGAGGGGTGATTTTTTACTTTCCCTCTCTACCCCTCTCTCTCTGTCTCTAGTGAGTGCACATGTCTTATGGCAAAAGAAAAAAAAAAGTCTAAAAGAAAATCGGATTAAAGGTGATCGATCACATGTACAATGTATTTAGTACAGTGCCTGCTTGAGATGCCTATGTGTGTGCATCACATGCACGTGCATCATAAAGGCCTGCTATATGGTAGTTATTATAAGCTTGTATTTTTAATTTCATCAGCAGACTTCTGCTGTATTATCCTCAGTGACTTTATAAAATAATTTATTTAATTTGATTTATCATCATCTTTTTCTATTTTTTGAGAGAGAGAGATTTTTGCTATAGGGCATGCGTACTCACTGGAGAGACAGAGACAGAAAGCTATCACCTCCCAAGAGGGATGGTCGTGCTATAATCCCTTCCCCTCCATTTTCTTCTTGAGTTTCTGATCATGCATGCACATATGCTTGGCATAAGTTTCAAGCTGCCTGGTCCAGGTTTTGAACTACACTCAACTATGTGGAAGTCCAATGCCTTAACCAGTATGCTACCTGCTAGCTGCTATTATTATTATTTTTTTAAATTTCCTATAGGGCACATGTGCTCATCAGAAAGAGACAGAGAGACAGAAAATGAGAAAACACCCTGCCAGGTCTGAGATTCCAATTGCAGTCAGCCATGTGGGAGTTTATCGCCTTAAGCACCATGCCATCTGGTGGCCCCCTATCCTCAGTGACTTTATTCTAGGAGGCGGAATTGTTCAGAATTGTTTTTCTGGGAGTATTAATGAAGAATGTGTGATGGCAGGATGAGTATTGTTAAGTTCAAAACCCTCAAAGAGACTCTAGAAGTCCCGGATGGATTCTCTTGTCCTGCTCTTTATGTTCCTCATTGCCATTTACTTTTGGTCCCTTGACCTGACAGGGCTAGGGGCAGTGGGAGAGGAGAGACTATAGAGCTGTTTATTCTCTACCAGCTTTGCAGAGAGTTTGAATGTTGGGAGAAAGTTGCTTTTCAGGTAAGAACAACTTGGGGGATTATGTGTGGACCTCACTTAGCCTTATGGGCCTGCAGGCACTTCAGCCTTGCATCTGTGTGTGTGTTCCCCATGCCCCCTGTGCCCGCCTGGCTCTGAGCCAGCTCCCAGAGGGCAAAGCCGTCCATCAAAGCCAGGCAGGCCTCCAGCTCAGGTAACCACCGCACTTACACAATTGTCCCTTTACGAAAGGTCAGCAGGGAACGTGTTCCTTCCTGCTTCCACCTTCCTGAGGGTTTTCATGTCCACGCTAACCCACTGCGCGCCTGGGCCAAGGCCAAGTTGCCCATCAATATTTTAAAGTAGTGGGGTTATAAAATTTATGGAAGACGCACGAAGGACAATTCCCTGAAGTGATGAGCCCGCTGAGAAGGGATATTGGCTAAAAGGAGATTTCCCACTTTGAAACAGTGTGAGACCAAGTGCCAAGCAGCAGAGACCCATTGTATGCATGGGGCTCTGAGCCTGGTGGAAAATCTGACCTGGTTTCAAATCCCACCTACAACTGCTAATTTATTTGGTTATCTATTAACAGTCTCCTGGCAGCTTACTTTTATGTTTAAAATTAAGTGCTTGATTGATTATTTTCTAGAACAGTGATGGGATGTTGTTCTATACTTAAGCCAATCCATTAGTGGGCTTTCTCATTACTGATCTCTTTTCCTTCCTTTCTGGGTTCATTGTACGTGTGTGTGTGTGTGTGTATGCATGTTCGCACTCCTGCATGCACCTGAGGGTGGGGCTGGAGAATGGAGGTGTTGTAGTTCTAAAAGTAAAGAGGGGCTTTTATATTTCCCAAACTACATATCCACAAGGACTCTTCTAGCTAAGGAGAGGTGGTTATTTCTCAACATAATTCATGTGTGGAAACCATGTTCCAGAGAACTTCATGTTATAGTGGTTTTATTTTGTCAAATACCTGGGTATAAGATTCTATGTTTTAAAAAAGTTGCTAGAAGTCATGTGCATTTTGTTGGTGAGAGACAGAGGGGGAGAGAGAGAGAGGGAAAATGAGAAAGCACCCTCCCTATAGGGAATAGTCACATCACAATCCCGTCTCCTCCCTTTCTGCTTGTAGGATTTGGGGCACACACACCCCATGTGTTTCTTAAGCCACCTGGTCTGGGACTCAAACTGCATAGTTGGTCATGTCACCATGACCACTAGGCCATAGGCTGGCCCAATAAGCTGCTGCTGCTTTTTAAAAGGTTTTTCCATAGGGATTTTCTGGAGACAGACGGAGAGAGAAAGTGAGAAATTACTCCACCACACACACACACTGGAAGGATGGCCACACCACAATCCCTTCTCCTCCATTTTCCTCTCGGGATTTGGGGAACGCGTGCACCTGCGCCCTGTGATTTTCAGGCTGCTGGGTCTGGGTTTCAAACTGTGGCGATGTGGGAGTCCAGCACCTTAATCACCATGCCACCTGCTGGCTCCTGAGCTTCTATTTTTAAACACTTCTACTTGCCTTTTGTCTGCTTTGGAGGCATCTTCAAATATTTTCATAGTTCCAAGATTTGCTTCTGAGGATTGGGATTCCATCGCTTTATTAAAAATTGGTTTATTAAATATTGAATAAATAGAACAAAATACGACATATGTAGGGCAGAACTTCTAACTCTTGTGCCCGGGCAGTTTCCTTGGGATGGTAGAGCTTATTGGCCCCTCCAGCCCTTTGGGTGGGCAGGTGTGGCCTAGAGTGGCCTGAATTCCCAGGCAGGCCGTCTCTGGGGTTCCCGTCTCACACTGTGCTTAACCACTGTGCTATGGGGCCAGCGCCATGAACTTTTTGAAGGCCCCCTCATTGCGTGACTAGTTAGGAACACTCAGGACTAAAGCCTAGTCTGCCCTTTTCCAGCCCATAATAATGGCAACCCTAGTGAGTGATTCCTCTGTCCCAGGACATGGACTTTCTCTGTCACCTTGGTTCATTCTTACAACAAGCTCTGGTGGATGTTACTTGCGACATCCCTAAAACGGGCTTCCAAAATCGGGCTATCCAGGGGAAAGCCATTCAGCCCATCACTGCAAAGAGAGGAGGATTCCCACTTTCCGTCTGCCTGCTGGAATGTTCTGTCTCAGAGACAGTGAGTCTCAATAAGGAAGCCCAGCCTTTCTGTCCTGTTTTTTATTTTTTATTTTTTTAAAGAGAGAGAATTGTTTTTCTTTTCTTTTCTACTAGGGCTCATGCACTTGCTGGAGAGACAGAAAGAGACAGAGAGATAGGAAGCAAGAAATCACCCCCTGGGGGATGGCCACACAGCAATCCTTTCTTCTCCATTCTCCTCCTGAGATTTTGGGCATGCGCACATGCCCTGTGTAAGTTTCAAGCTGCTGGGTCTAGGATTCGAACTGTGGTCAGCCATGTGGGAGTCCAGCACCTTATCCACTATACCACCTGCTGCCTCCCCCGCCTCCACTTCTTATAACTTGAGGACTTGAAGACTCCTCAGCAACAAGCAGATCATTTGTACCGTGGAGCATGCTTTACATAAGCAGTGTGTTCTTGAAAATGTCCATGGAAACAGAAGTTTGGCAAATTTAATTGAACATCTATCTGAGAGGGTGGGATCTCTAGGAAACCTTCACTAAATTAAGGAATTAGAGTTAGCTCATTTATACATTTAGATTTTTGACTCAGACTAGACTGTATCCTGGCTCAATGCTAAGTCTTACTAAGAGAAAGAAACAGGGTTTCATTAGGTAAAAGACCTTCTATTCTTAGACGCTTTAAAGCTTCCTGAGGAAGACAGGGTTGGGCTGAGGGTTGCTGCTAATTTACCAGGTGGCCATTCAGTGCTCATGTTGCCAGAAGCATGGAGATTCCAGTTTCACAGTACCTTGACCTTGGTTTGAAGAGCCTAAGTACCCAGCTCCTTGGCCTAATGCAAAGAGCTACGAGGCAGCATATAGTCAGAGCCGCTGCATGTGGACCCACCTCTCCTAAGTATGCACAAGACCTTTGGAGGAAAGCCCTTTTCCACTCCATCCTGGTTCCTAGGGCTGTTGTAACAAAGTACTACAAACTGGGGGCTTAAAACAACAGAGATGCATTCTCTCACCACTGTAGAGACCAGAAGTCTGAAATCCAGGTGTCAGCAGGGTCTGGCTCCCTGCCAAGGCTCTAGAGAAGAATCCTTTCAGCTCTGGTGACTACCTTCCCTGGCTTGTGGCTGCATCACTCCTGTCTCTGCCTCCATCTTCACCTGGCTTTCTCCTCTGTGTGTGTCTCCTCTTCTGTTTCTCATAAAGACGTTTACTATTGGATTTAGGGCCTAGTTGGACAACTCAGGATGACGTCATTTTCAATTTAATTGCATATGTAAAGACTCCTTTTCCAGAACAAGTCACATCACATGTTCTGGGGATTGGGTCATGGACGTATCTCTTGAGGGAGGATACCTTTAAGCTTATCATACACCTTCTTGCCATCCCTAGAAACAATTCCCACTCCTTCTCAGATTCTGTTGGACTCACACCTCCTACTATGAGATTGTGCATGGGATATTCAAAAGGGATATTCCTGCAAAATGTGTATTATGAAAAGAACTATGTTTGGATTTCAAAACGATTTTTGAACCAAAATAAACTTACAGGTTAGTTCCATTTTCCACAGTTTTTGAAGTCGCTTCACATAATTAGAACACAGAAGTGGAATCTTAGGGCTGAGTTCTGTGGTCACAAGCACATGCTTAGAATCTGACAAAACCTACACTCCAATCCCAGCTCTCCCATGTGTCAGGTGTCAGATCTGGGTGAATAACCAAGTAGCTCAGGACTCTACTCCTCATCGCCAAGAGGTGGAGAGTAACACCTACTCAGAACTTTGTTGTAAAGATGAACTAAGATGACATGTAAGAAGCTGATCTCTGGATCAAAGGAATGAGAGTAGCCATTATTATGGCCTGGGGAAGGAGGAACTTGATCTTTAGTCACTGGACCCAGTTAGCCCTGTGACCTCAAGGAAACCCTCTGAGCATCTGTGGGAACATATAATAGAAACAGTGATTAGACAGGGTCTTCCTAATTTTCTCAGTCACAATAGTCTTGCGCCTTTTGTGTGGCAGAAACTACCCAGGGGACTCAGACTCTGGCCGCTCTTAATTTGAACAGTCTTAGCACACTTTGTATATATCCCTTAGATTGGGCTTCCAAAATAGCATGAAGAATATTGCAGAATATTTCAAAATGTTTGCTGCTCAGGTGTTATTTATAAAATGGTGCTTCCTCCAGTGAGTACCATTCTGTGGAATCCCTGAGTTAAAGACTAGTAGTACAGGGACCAGCAGTTGGCGTAATGGCTATGTGGCTGGACTCCCATGTAGTCGACTGCAGTTCGAGTCCCGGACCCAGTGGCTTAAACTCACACCAGTCGCATGTGCGTGCGTGCCCAAGATACCGAGAGGTGAATGGAGGAGAAGGGATTGTGGCGTGGTCATCCCCCCTGGGGGGGTGATTTCTCGCTTTCTGTCTCTCTGTCTCTCTCTGTCTGGTGAGCGCATGCGCCCTATAGCAAACCCCCCCCCAGAAAAAAAACCAAACCAAAACAAAACAAAAAAAACACTAGTAGTACATGGCCAGCCCCATAGCCTAGTGGCTGAATCCCACATGGCTGACTACCGTTAGAATCCTAGCCCTGGTGGTTTGAAAAACATACTGGGGTGTGGGTGCATGTATGCCCCAAATTCCAATAGAGTGAAAAAGTGGAGAAGGGATTGCAACATAACCGTGCTTCTTTTGGGGGGTGCTTTCTCTCATTCTATCAGGTGAGTACACATGCCTTCTGGAAATTAAAAGATAATAATAATGGGAATATAGGAGTTATTTCATACATTCTCTTGTGTCTAAATAACATCTCTAGAAACAGAGAAATCACGTAGTGTTAACTCTAACAGGATAGAGGTTGTCCCTGCCTGCACAGAGCAGGCCTTCAGAAAATACAAGTACAGATGAATTTGCAGACGAAAGATTAAAGCTCAGAGATGCGAAGTGATTTGATCAAGGTCAGTCAGTTGGTCCTCCAATTCTAAGGCTAAAATTCTTTCGAAGGTTTGTATTTTATCTGAAATTGCTCTGGGGTTCCACTGTTCAGAACACTTAAATTTATTTTTTTAGCCAGAGGATGCTTATACTCATTACAGAAAGACAGAGAGAAAGAGAGAGATGGAGAGACAGAGAGAGTTAACATGAGAAAGGACCTCCCATGAGTCATGATTATATCTCCATCCCTTCTTCTCCATTTCTCCCTTCTGTTGGGATTTTGGACACACACGTACACATGCTCAGCATGTTTCTCAAGCTTCCAGATCGAGGCCTCAAACCTCATAATTGGCCATGTGGGATCCAGCCTCCTTAACCACCATGCCAAGGGCTGACCCAGGATATGTTTTTATTCGACACAGTTGTGCTACTGTCCAGGAAGAGTGAGCAAGTTAACATTGCTCCCAGGGACATTATAGTCTAGTGCAAAGTTTAAAAGAAAGAAGGAGCCTAGGTGAGACAGAGCAGCTGGAAATTCTTCCAAATATAACCTCCAAAATGAGGATTTAAGTGTGCATGCGTGATTTTTCTGTTCCCTATAGAAAAAGACACATTTTATTTGCAAACTCAATCTTCATTTGAAAGGATAAGTCACATCTCTTTGTCTCTCCCTATAGTCTGTTCTCTGATCAGAACTTGTGCTCATAGAGATTTATTTGGCAAAGTTCTCAAGCTCTATTTCCCAGCATCAGTGTCTTGTGTAGGTATCTAGATACATATACCTAAATATTTCTCTTAAAAAAAAAAAAGAAACTTCAATTAGTCATGAAAAATAAGAGTGCCTCCAGTTCAACTGCCTTACTATTTGAATAGTATTTATCATCGATTCAGAGATCAGTCCGCCCCCTGCCATGGGCACACGTGTGCCAGGTACTAAGGACTATCGAGAGACAGCCTCCACAGGGTGGGAGAGAGTATATGGTCTACAGAATGCAATCCTGTTTGTGCACCTGTATGACAAGTCTTCATCTTTCTTTTCTCTTCTCTTATTTTTATCTTCCTTTTCTTTCTTTTTTTTGGGGGGAGGATGGAAATACAATTTTATATTGGAGTGAAAAAATTGAAAACTATACATACTTTTTTACAATATACATTGTTCATTCACTTTTTAAATTTTTATTATCATCATAATCTTCTTTATATTACATTGGATTGCATATAACTTTACAGTGTATTACATTGCTTTTTCAAAAGGGAATGCCATGCATGTCAGTCAATACAGAGACATTAATCTCCCCACTTCAACATTCAATATCTTTTCTATGATCTTCCCAATTATTATTATTATAATTATTTTTTAAAACAGTCAATCTCTATTTCTCATTTTGCTTGTTAAAAGACTTCACTCATCATGAAATACTTCTCAGACCAATCCAGTTGAGAATACTATACACGTCATCAATAGGTAATAAGCCATATCTGCTTCTCACTAACGTCCTGCCTCTCTATTGTTCACTTGCTATCTTTCTCTATCCTCTTCTCTTCACTTCCCCCATTCCACACTGTCCTATTCTCCTTAAGTACCTTCACTGCTTTTATGTCCTCCAATTTTCTTTCTTCCTTTTCTTTCTTTTTAAAGTGAATCTATTCACTAACGCTCGAGTGAGAGAGGCAGAGACAGAGAAAGACAGCAAGCACCTCCAACAGGGTCCCACCACACTCTAAGCTGGTTCAGCCAACCCTGAATCATGGGCTCACACTTAGCTAGCATACTCAGGGGGGCCTCCACACCCGAGCTGGGAACCTTCTCACATGGATCAGCCTCGAAGGGTGTCCCATTTTACCATGGCGATGCCATCTGGCCCCTAGCCTTTGGCTTCCTTTTCTTTTCTTTTTATTTTAAATTTAACTTTGTTTATTTATTATAACTTTATTTATTTATTTTTAATTTGACCAGAGAGGGACAGAGCGAGAGAGCGAGTGAGAGAGAGACACAGAGAGAGAAAGTGAGAAAGTAAGCTGCCAGGTCGAGGACTCAAACCAGGCAAACATGTGAGAATCCAACACCTTTAACCACCAGACCACCTGCCGGCCCCACCCTTGTCTTCCTTAACAGCATCCTCTTCTCACTTTCAATCCGCCTCCGAGAATGGGTCTGGTGGCCTTGGAGGGGCCTCTTGCCTCTGACCATGGCAGGCTTAGATACCAGGCAAAACTCTGAAAAGAAAACTGCTTGACTTCCCAATGGTGGGATGGTATTGACTAGTGTGTGAGTGTGTATGTGTGTGTATGTGTGTGTACTTGTGTGTACACAGAGAGTGGGAGGAGGGGAGAACAACAATTTATAAATCACGTCTGGCAAATCCTTCCATTCTTAGCTGGCTGTAAACTCATTTCTTTGCTTTTCTCAAGCTTTGATTTATGGATTGGGATCATGGGGTTTGCGTCCTTTCCTCTGGCTGTAAGTTTGGATTTAACGGGGCACTCCATAAAAATGGTAGGTGATTTGCATGCTCTGGGCTGATTGAGTTGCATTCTTTACAGGAACATTTTTAGATGGATTGTCTCTGTGGACCTCTGTTCTTTTGTTTCCTGGGGTTCAGAGGTTATATCAAAAACCTCCTGGCCTGCTGCCTGATGTGACCTTTGAACTCCAGAGGGCATAAGATCATAAGGCCATAAAATAAGGGCCAAACATTAAAGGTGTCATTCTGATTGTCCTCAAAGGACGGGAGTTTAAGGCTTGGTCACATGATTCAGGGTAGAGAAAATACTGAGAGAGCAAAAAGCAGGGAACATCGCGCACCCAGATCTCACTCTAGAGCCAAGAAGGATGTGAAAGAGCCTCTGGCCGTGGACGATGGGCAAACTGCTGAAAATCAGCTACCTCTTTCCACAACTGCTCCACTAAGACATCCCAAGAACACTTAAACATGCCGACTTGCAGACCGTTGGGTGTTAAGTGTTACTTTTTAATTGTGTTACCATAAGCAGGTTCATTTTTCTGTATGCTGCCTGCCCGGCCAGCGTAAATACAGCAGGAGGTCATCAGGAAGGTCTAGATGCTGGCGCGGCAGAGTTCAAACTCAGGAAGGACAGCAGAGCAGCACTGAAACCTGAGCCACACAGCCTGCGTGGCTTGGAAGGAAGAGCTCTATATTAGCTGTTGGTTTTTTAAAAGGAGAAGAAGCACTGGCTCAGAGTCAAACCTCCACAGAGTATGTCATTAGAAAGGGGAAAATCTATTTGGAATAATGATAAAGGTCTCCTTGTGGCTGGCTAGCATTTCAGAGCCAACCAAAACAAACATGCACGGGAAATGCAACGGAGCCCTGCATGGCCCAGGTTGGAAAGCGAAGGCTCAGGCTCAGGAGCCTTGACACTAAATAAATTATCCGGAATATTCTAAAACCATAAATGAACTTGTACTGATTTATGCAGAGGTTTCCAAGGTCTTTCAAAAATGCATGTGAGGAGCATTTACACTCCCTAGTGGCATGGAAAATGTTCCATGGCAGCAGAAAGGAGAACAGCGGAGCGTGGCTGAAAGCCTGCAGCTACAAATAAGCCCATCAACAGCATGGGGGGAGGCGTCCTTGGTGAAAGGTCAGAGTCCACCCTGGATTGCTCAGAGGGGAAACTGAGCCTCATGTTGGGGGCAACTGCAGAGTCCCCAGATGTTGTTCTCATACACAAACCAAGAGGAGAGGAGGGATGTTTTTAAAAGGCAAGTGGGTGTGAAGAAATGTAAGCTCCCCCCAGGGCAAGAAAAGAGGATACTCCCGACCTGAAAC